CAGAGAAATCACCACAACAGCTCATGTATGTGTCGTAGGCAGTTAGGTAAGCATGAGCAGAGTAGGAACAACATGCCAGGTGCGGGGGGTCATGAGGATGGAGAGCCCTGTGTTATGCAAAGTGCTGAAGAAACAGCCTGGAGACCTGTCTGTGAGAGACATGGGTTTATTAGGACTTACATGCGCACTTGTGGCGGCCAACCAGTGAAGTACCACCACACCTGCTGCTACCTGTGAACTTGTCCCGCAAGTCCCATCTGGCCTGCAGACAGGCTGCACCGGGGAAGGTGGGGGGGTGGGGGGGTGGGCAGGCTGCCAGTGTTATTGCTTTGCCACCCCCAAGACTTACCTAACATAAGGTTTTATAGAGTACAGAAAACAGAGAAACAGGGCATGCAAGGGGAGGGGAATGGGCCGCTGTATGAACTGCCACATCAAAACGCAAGCTATTTACAAACCAGGCTCACATCTAGAAGCAGTTACTATATGGCCTTTTCTTTTTTTAATATTATACTATTATTTTAAATATTTTTAAATTGATTTTAGAGAGGAAGAGGGAGATAGAAACATCAGTGATGCTAGAGAATCATTGATCAGCTGCCTCCTGCACATCTCCTACCAGGATCGAGCCTGAACCTGGGCATATGCCCTGACCAGGAATCAAACTGTGACCTCCTCGTTCACATAGGTCATGTTCAACCACTGAATCACACCTTTCTTAGACCGAGTTGCTGCCAGGTTCCCAAGGTCTCACAATGTACTTACAGATTTCAACTGTATTTCCCACAGGGTGGGAGGGGTAGTTGAAGCATGGGAAGGGAAGAGGCCCATGTATCCATTTACCATATACCTTGGGTGCCTAGCAACCACTTCCTTAAGTATTTACCCCTGAAGATGACATCTAGGCTCCAAGTTCAAAAAAGCAGTGAAACCAGATAGAGTGATGTCAGGGCTGACAGCAGGACCAGCTGCATGGTACCAACCAATCAATGGAGACTGACCTCAAGGAGACACACCTGTAAAGCTAGTGAATATTCTATTGAGATCCTCCCCTGAGGCCTCCAGATAAAAGCCTCAGGGTGGAGGATGAGGTGTGGCGCTGTCTTCTCCTAGACCAATCATGCTTTTCCCCACACCCTTGCCCCAGGCGTGTCTTCCTTAATTCTCTCTTTCTCCTAAGCTTTAAGGGCCCTTCTTTTGCCTCTATACTTTGTTTTTTGAGCCCATTTCTTCTAGGGCTCACTTCTTCTACCTCTGTGACTTTTTTTGTGTATTTTTATAACTTAGAATTTTTATTTTTAACCAACTGAAAGAACTATTTTACTTCAAAAGAAAATCTTTTAAAACCACATTTCACTCTTCTGAAAAGGAAAACAAGCAAAGTCAATTGGTTATGTTGTAATGTACCCCACGAATCACAGAAGGACGCCTCAAGAAGTCAAATTAAAGAGTCACATTTATTGCAATCCGGGACTATGAGGGGCCATTCCCCAAATCTCATAGTGATAAGATGGTGGCAAAACCAGACTTATATAGGCAAAGATCACAAAGGTATTGATTACATCTCAAGGTTTGGAATGAGGAACCTGGTTTGCAAAAAAGCAGTTTACAGAAGCAGAAGCAGCATGTTATCTAAATTACAGTTTTGGGTCCCCGGATCACTGAATTGACAGAAACATATTATCTAGAGCCCTCGGGTCTGGAATGAGGAACCTGGCCAGACTTAAGCATGTTATCTAAATTACAGTTTTGGGTCTCCGGAACACTGAGTCAACAGGGACACGTTAACTGGAGCCCTCTGACCTTGGGATAACTGTGCTGTCCTTCCCAGGTAAAGGAAAATGTGCTTTCTAAGACCAGTATGACCACTACAAATGGGATTTCACATTACAATCAATAGGCTATTTAATCGAATGGGATGATTTATATAGTTCAGAAAATCAAAATAACTTTCCTATTGTTAAACAAAGGAAATAAGTACAGGAGCCAAACAGCAGGGTTAAAGTTAAATTATAGTTTCTACCTGAGATGATTGCTACCATACTTCAGTTAAAGCATTCTTAAAACATTTTCACATTCAGATCTAACTCCTGCAACTTGTTTTTCTACTCAGAATTGTCAAAATCCATTTTTCCCATACAATATTGTCCTCTGTGCCAACAAAAGTTCTCCATTATTGTTTCTGAGATTTTCTTTGAAGTTGTAACTTTCTAAATAAACTTTCTCTTATAGTGTGAGTTGGTTCTGAATTTTTTCTTAGCCAGAATTCAAGTATTGAGGTTGCTAAACTGAGGTCCAGTCTGACTCCACCAGTCTAACACCTGGTGCCATTTTGCCACCAACATATAGACAATTTTCATGCCTGTTGCAGAAAAATGCCAGAAACATTCCAACTACAGAACCGGAGAATCTATCAGACTGTCACTACCTGCCTTCACGTCATCTGAAGATGCTTTGAGACAGACATGTAGAAATCTTAACTTCCTGCCTTCAGAACTTAGAAACTGGGATGAGTGTCTGCTTTAGTCATTAACCATTGTTTTTCTTTTGTTTCCATAGAGCAGTGGTTCTCAACCTTCTGGCCCTTTAAATACAGTTCCTCGCCGAAACCGGTTTGCCTCAGTGGATAGAGCGTTGGCCTGCGGACTGAAGGGTCCCAGGTTCGATTCCGGTCAAGGGCATGTACCTGGGTTGCGGGCATATCCCCAGTGGGGGATGTGCAGGAGGCAGCTGATCGATGTTTCTCTCTCATTGATGTTTCTAACTCTCTATCTCTCTCCCTTCGACTCTGTAAAAAATCAATAAAATATATATTTTTTAAAAAATAAATAAATAAATACAGTTCCTCATGTTGTGACCCAACCATAAAATTATTTTCGTTGCTACTTCATAACTATAATGTTGCTAATGTTATGAATCGTAATGTAAATATCTGATATGCAGGATGGTCTTAGGCGACCCCTGTGAAAGCGTTGTTCGACCGCCAAAGGGATCGTGACCCACAGGTTGAGAACCGCTGCCATAGAGCTACCTATTATTAAATACGTGATTGCTTGCACCATTGGCCTAGCTTTGGGAGCCCACCTATATGTCTGCCTCCTGAAATGAGACATGACTGTTTAACTGAACTGATTATACTCAAGACTGAGACTAATTTAATGTCATATGGGACAATCTATCAACTCAATTTCTGAAATGTGAAACTTCTCAGGAGGTTGAGGGTAGTTACCCCTTCAAGAGGACTGGAAAAGAGAATTACTCTGGCGTTTCAAATGGACAGGCTTGCTTAAGGCAAAGACAAACCTAAGGAAGTTATAGGCCTGGGGTGTGACTACCCACTGTGACCTGCCCCGTTAGGAATTTATGATCAGATCACCCTTTGAGGTTACTGTAATCACTGAGCTTATCAAATGTTACAATGTTATGGTCATAAGGAAACCCCTCTAATGGGTGAAATGATTATTGTGTGAAATGTTTGCTGTGTGGAGACCCCAATACTCTTGTTAACGTAAAAAAAACCATTGAAACCTGTAAAGAATTTTTGTGAGTTTATTTGAGCCAAACTGTCGACATATGCTGGGAAGCAGAACCTCAACAAATTGAGATAATGCTACGGCGAATGGCGGGGTTACATTTGTATTTATACATTTCAATCAAAGGAGGAACATAGGTGGGTTTCATGAAATTCATTGGTGACAGATTAAGGAGGAGGGATAAAGCAAAGCAGGGAAACCCCTGGGATTGGATAAAAAGTAAAATGATGGACACATACTTAGGTGGGTGCAGGAACAATTAACATGATAATGAAGGAATCTGTGATATCTGTCCTGGGGCCCAGCACATTTGGTTGTGCCCCAGGGGCTCCATAAAAAGGGAAGTCACAAGTTACCCAGACATTTCAAGGATATGTTATCATAGATGCAAAAAGACAGATAGGCTCAGTTACAGTAAAGGTTGACCTTGTCAGTGAAGATATCGGCTTAGGACATGACTACCCACTATAACCTGTTTGTAGTTAAATATTTAATTTTCAGACCATCTTTTGTGGTTATTTTAGGTCTCTGAGTTTGCTAGGCTGCCACGCAGGCCTCCCCTGAGCTTGTCAGGTTAGCATGTGGCTCCTTTCGTGTCCACACTCTGTAACTTCCAACATGTTATAAACATGGTGAACGCCCCACTATCTTGATGTAAACGCCCTAAGCCCTTAAAGTGTAAAGGCCCTGCTCCTAGCATAAGGCACACCCTCTGGCCCACACTGATAAGACACAAGGTGTTTGCTGCTGGCTATATAAGCGCCGGACCTTCCTGCCTGATAAGAGGAGGACTCCACCTCAATCCGGGAGACGAGCCTCTGACTGACTGCTCTGCTGTGCGAGCCTGAACCAACTGCGGCCGCCTGTCTCCGTCTTCGTCGTCTGTCTTTCGGTGTGCTTGGCTGAGTGGCCTTTGCCGGAGCCTAGGACCCACTAGGAATAGGTAAGTAAACCTTGTGTGATTGCATACTAATTCTGTCTTGTGTGTTCATGTGTTCCGGTTCGGCTCAACTGTCTAGACTAGACATTGAAGTACCAGGGGATAGGCCGTTAGTGCTGACCCCTGGTCACCTGCGTATGTCCCACTAAATCTAGGCAGATAATTAATTAATTGGGGCATAATTGGGACATCAGATTTACATTGTTCACAGTATGTATGTATTAAATTTGGTTATTTTCTCTTGTTAATCTATCTTTTATAGATTTGATTATTAGATCAGGAAAGAAAAAAAAACTTGAGGATAGGGGCAAGTTTCTTCCTTCCCATAGTGGCATATGAAGTCATGTGTCTTCTGTGATGGGTGGCAGATAAATCTGGGTGCTTCCCCTATAAGAAGATGCAAGCCTCATCCCCTTCCTACAAGCCACCTTTTCCCAGCGCCCCACCCAATCAGGTGGTGGTTCAGGAGATTGGAAAGAGCTCCCCCGGCCGGGCTGCGAGCAAGAGAGAAACTACATTACCCAGAAGTCTGGGCGCGGTGAGGATCCGACTACAGGGTATTCGGGACCTTGAAAGGGGCTGCGGTATTGTTGGGTGGGACTTCCGGCGGCACCGGCGATTTGGTTCTTCCAGCCTAGGGGTATGTGCACTCTGGCTCTCCAGGCTTTTCGGTACCTTGCAGAGAAGCACCGAAAGGGGAGGACAGCCACTCCGGCGCTAGCAGGACCTGGAGGAGGCTTCGCGAGCCCACGGGACCATCTCTGCCGTCGCCTCTCTTGGCTGTGCTCCGCACACGGACTTCCTTGTCGGTGCTAGTTCACATGGACCTGGCGCAGGTAAGTGCAGGGTGGCCCGGACCCCTGCCCACTCCTTCATTGTTGGAGCCCTGACGTGTATTAAATGCGGGAGTCCTCGCCTTCCCCTCGCTGCCGTTGGGTCTGGGTATCCCGGCATGGGGTCACTCACAGCCCATGGTGTGGACTCCAGGATGGGGTTTACATGGAGAGATTCTCATTTCTGGCAATCACCGGTTTGCCACGTGGAAGGAAGAAGTGCAGCTTCTCAGAATCTCCACGGTAGGCGCGACTCACGTGGACCTTCCCGCTGGGTGGAACGTAGGCTGCTGAATGCAGAGACCTCAGTGTGGATTCTGGGTGGCACCCATTCCAGGGTGTGACCTGCCTGAGCCACTCCTTATCCTTGGCCTATCTTATCTCAGGTATAAAATGGGAATGTTTACAGTTGTTCCCTCTTGGTTTCGGGAACTGGAAAGTGCACCTCTGTGTCTGTCCCCCAGCACTGCCCAGGGAGCATCATTCTGTACCCATTTGCCTGAGAGGTGCATCCCGGACCCGTGTTAATCTTAGGGCCTGACCTCAAGAAGAATCTGGCCATTGGGCCTTCCTGGGCTCTGGCCTTACACATAAATGATGAGTGGAGTAGGAGGTGGGTAGCCTGGAGGGAAAGGTGGGTGGAGAAAACGGCGTTTGGCACTGCTGCTCCTCTGCTAGTGCAAGGAAGATCATAGATCAGGCTGAGAGCTAGGGAAGCCTCCAAACTCACCTTTTGCAATTGCCATCTTGTCAGTGCAGTTGACTTGCCTGATTCACAGTAGTGAATCAGTTTACCTTTTAAGACATTCACATTTGAAAAGCAAATCCATTACATATTCAGTGTGGATGAAAAAGGGGCATTGCAATATATCTAACTAAAAGTGACCTCACGGGGTGATCTGATCATAAATTCCTAATTAGGTAGTCATAGCCCAGGCAATTACTTTCGTTAGTAAAAAAGTTTATCTTTGCCTTAAATAAGCCCGGTCCATTGTTCAGTTCTCTTTTCCAGACCTCTTAGAGGGATAACCACCCTCAAGGGATAGTTAATCTTCTTAACGATCCTGTACCTTGCTTTCTCCCACCTTCAGTTAATCTTTAAACTCCTTTTTTTCTTACTAAGATAACTAGAGGCCGGGTGCACAAAAATTTGTGCACTCTGGGGGGGGGGTCCCCTCAACCCGACCTGTGCCCTCTCCCAGTCTGGGACCCCTCAGGGGATGTCCACCTGCTGGCTTAGGCCTACTCCCTGGGGTATCGAGCCTAAGCTGGTAGTCAGACATCTCTCTGGCAGCCTGGGAGCCCTCGGGGGATGTCCACTTGCCAGCGGGGAGCAGGCCTAAACTGCAGTCGGACATCCTTAATGCTGCTGAGGAGGCGGGAGAGGTTCCCGCTACCACCGCTGTGCTGGCAGCCGTCAGCCTGGCTTGTGGCTGAGCAGAGCTCCCCCTGTGGGAGCACACTGACCACCAGGGGGCATCTCCTGCATTGAGCATCTGCCCCCTGGTGGTCAGTGTGTGTCATAGTGACCAGTCATTCCCAGTTGTTCTGCTGTTAGGGTCAATTTGCATATTACCCTTTTATTATATAGCACTAGAGGCCTGGTGCACAAAAATTTGCACCAGGCCTGCGCCCATTCACAGTCCAGGACCCCTTGGGGGATGTCCACCTGTCAACTTAGACCCACTCCCCGGGGGATCAGGCCTAAGCTTGCATCCTTCTGGCAGCCAGGGAGCCCTCGGGGGATGTCCGACTAAAGGCTAGGTGCCCAAGGGATCAGGTCTAAACCGTTAGTTGGACATTTTTAGTGCTGCCACGGAGGTGGGAGAGGCTCCTGCCACCACCACTGTGCTGGCCAGCCATGAGCCAGCTTCTGGCTGAGTGGCACTCCCCATATGGAAGTGCACCGACCACCAGGGGGCAGCTCCTGCATTGAGCATCTGCCCCCTGGTGGCCAGTGCGCATCATAGCAACCGGTCATTCTGCCGTTCAGTCAATGTGCATATTAGCCTTTTATTATTATTATATAGGATGTCCCTATTTCCCCCCTTTTGCCCCCTCTACCCAGCTCTTGCCCCCCACTTCCTTCTGGCCATCACCATACTGTTGTCTGTGTCCATGGGTTGTGCATATATTTTCTTTGGCTAATCCCTTCTTTAAATTCACTTCTTTAAATTTTTATTTTCAGATAAGTGCTTATAACTGCACTATTATATATTTTCTATTATGTCATTTATTTATTTTTTTAATATATTTTATTGTTTTTTTACAGAGAGGGAGAGAGAGGGAGAGAGAGTTAGAAACACCGATGAGAGAGAAACATCGATTAGCTGCCTCCGGCACATCTCCTACTGGGGATGTGCCCGCAACCAAGGTACATGCCCTTGACCGGAATCAAACCTGGGACCCTTCAGTCTGCAGGCCGATGCTCTATCCACTGAGCCAAACTGGTTTGGCTATTATGTCATTTAGAATTAAGATATTTTTTAATTGAACCCTTGTAAATTTTAGCACAATTTAATAAATTATGCTAGAAGCAATTAGGAGATTTTTCATGTAATGCAGATACATTTCAATTAATATTTTATTAATTTTTAATTTTTTAATATTTTAATTTGAAATAATCTCATACAGGTTAAAAAAAAACTATAAAATACTACAGCATATTATATGTACCCTTCACCCAATTTCTTAGGTGTTAATAATTTAAACATAACCATTATACAACTAACAAAATTTGGAATATATTTTTCTTATAATCTCTTTAATGTTACTTAATCCATTTACTTTGTTTTTGTTAATCTTCACCCAAGGATATTTTTCCATTGAATTTTAGAGAGAGTGAAGGGAAAGGGAGAGACACATTGATTGGTTGCCTCCTGTGCATGCTTTGATAGGGACTGGGGATCAAGCCAGCAACTGAGGTACATGCCCTTGACTGGAATCGAACCTGGGACCCTTCAGTCCAAGGGCTAATGCTCTATCCACTGAGCAAAACAGGCTGCAGCTTAATTCATTTACTTTTAATCTATATGTGTCTTTATATTTAAAGTGGGTTTTGTTTTTGATTCACCCTCATAATCTGTTTTGGCTTCTGGGGCTTCTGGGTCTGGCCTGCCTTGCCGACCTGCTGATCAGGTCCCGGGCCGCAAGGCGGGCCGGCTCCTGGGGCTTTTGGGGAAAGGCGGGGCCAGGCTTGCCCTGGATGGGGGCGAGCTGGCAGCTTGCGCTGTCCCGCCCTGCCCCGCCCTGCCTGCAGTATGCAAATTATCTGCCATCTTTGTGGTGGCTGATTTGCATATTGCACTGATTAGCCAATGGGAGACGTAGCAAAGGTACGGTCAATTACCATGTTTGTCTATTATTAGATAGGATAGGGGCCTGGTGCACGGGTGGGGGCCGGCTAGTTTGCCCTGAAGGGTGTCCCAGTCAGGGTAGGGGTCCCGCTGGGGTGCCTGGCCAGCCTGGATGAGGGGCTGATGGCTGTTTGCAGGCTGGCCAAGCCCCCCAGCAGGGACCCTCACCCCATGAGGGTGTGGCCAGCCTGGGTGAGGGGCTGAGGGCCGTTTTCAGGCTGCCCACAGCCCCTTCAGGGTTGGGGAGTCCCGCTGGGGTGCCTGGCCAGTCTGGGTGAGGTTTTCAGGCTGGCCACGCCCCCCGGTGACCCAGCTTTTCCTTTTTTTCTTTTTTTTCTTTTTCTGGGATTTATTTATCTTCTATAATTGAAACGTTGTAGCCTTGAGTGGAGCTCAGGTCCGGTTGGAAGCCCAGGCTCCCAGCCCCTCCTTGGTCGGAGGCCACAGCTGGCTGGAAGCAGGTATCTGAGATTTATTTATCTTCTGTAATTGAAACTTTGTAGCCTTGAGCGGAGCCGAGGGCCCGGCCAGGGCAGGTGGGAAGCTTGGCTTCCTCCATCGCCGGCGGCAACCCAAGCCTCCTGCTCGCTCCAGCTGCGTGGCCACCCGCCATCTTAGTTGGGTTAATTTGCATACTCGCTCCTGATTGGCTGGTGGGTGTGACTTGAGGGTAGTGGAGGGGTGGTTAATTTGCATGTTTCTCTTTTATTATATAGGATTTGTTTTATTTACCCTATTTTTCCAAAATGTAAATTACACTGTTGGAGTAAATTAAGCAAACTCCCTTTTTTAAAAAAATATACTTTTTAGCCTTAGCCAGTTTGGCTCAGTGGATAGAGTATCGGCCTGTGGATTGAAGGGTCCCAGGTTCGATTCTGGTCAAGAGCACACGCACAGGGTTGCGGGCTTGATCCCCAGTAGGGGGCGTGCAGAAGGCAGCCGATCAATGATTTTCTCTCATCATTGATGTTTCTATCTCTCCCTCTCCCTTCCTTGCTGAAATCAATAAAAATATATTTTTATTTATATATACATATATATATATATATATATATATATATATATACTTTTTATTGTTGATAGTATTATAGATATTTCCCCTTTTCTCTCCCTTTACTCCCATCCTCCCAGCCCCTACCCACCCTACTCTATTGCCTGTGTCTATGGGCTATGCCTATCTATCTACACTAATAAAAGAGAAACATGGTAATTAGCGTACGACCGCTACCCTTCCCATTGGCTAATCAGCATATCCTTATGCAAATTAACTGTCAGCCATGCACTGAAGCGAACAGGGAGGCTTGCTTGCTCCAGTGACTGCAGACTCCAACGTTCCCCGCCTGAGTTGCCGGCCTCTCAGCTGCAACTCTAAGCAACTATGTACTATGTTGCAAATATAGAAGCTAAACAAAACCCCAGAAACCGGCTTTCAGTCAGCCTGCCTTCAGCCAGCCTGACCGCAACATTGTATCAATGTTTTCAGCAGCTAGGCCTCAGAGCTAAAGCAGGCCCAGAATAGAAAAAGAAAAAAGAAAAAAAGGAGCAGTTGGGAGCTTCAGTCACCCGCCAACGTGAAAATGGCCCTCAGCCCCTCAGCCAGACTGGCCAGGCACCCCAGTGGGGACCCCCACCCTGATCCAGGACACCCTTCGGGGCAAACCAGCCAGCCCCTATCCGTGCACCAGGCCTCTATCCTATATAGTAAAAGGGTAATATGCCTCCCAGCACCGGGATCAGCGGAGCAGTGAGGCCTCCCGGCACCAGGATCAGTGTGACAGGGGGCAGCGCCCAAACCCCCTGATCGCCCTGTGGCTCTGTGTGTGACAGGGGGCGGGGCCCCAACCCCCTGATCAGCCCTGCTCTGTGCCTGATAGGGGGGAGCTCCCCAACCCCCTGATTGCCCTGCGGCTCTGTGTGTGACGGGGGCGGGGCCACAACCTCCCTATCCTCCCTGCTCTGTGTTTGACAGGGTAGAGCCATAACCTCTCCATCGGCCCTGCCTTGAGTGTGACAGTGGCGGCGCCCCAACCCCCTGATCGGCCCTGTTCTATGGGTGATAGAGTGTGGCGCCCCAACCCCCCTCCACGGGCCTTGCTCTATGTGTGACAGGGTAGAGCCATAACCTCCCCATTGGCCCTGCCCTGAGTGTGACAGGGTGCAGCGCCCCAACTCCCTGATCCGCCCTGCTCTGTGTGTGACAGGGGGCGGTGCTCCAACTCCCCTATCGGCCCTACTCTGTGAGTGACAGGGGGGAGCTCCTCAACCCCCTGATGGGCCCTGCTCTGTGAGTGACAGGGGGGAGCTCCTCAACCCCCTGATTGGCCCTGCTCTGTGCATGACAGGGGGCAGCGCCCCAACCCCCTGATTGGCCCTGCTCTGTGAGTGACAGGGGGCAGCGCCCCAACCCCCTGATCGACCCTGCTCTGTGCGTGACAGGGGTGGCGCCGCAACCTCCCCATCGACCCTGCCTTGAGTGTGACAGGGGGCAGTGCCCCAACCCCCCAATCGGCCCTACCCTGAGCGTGACTGAGGGTGGCATCGCAACCTCCCAATCCGCCCTGCTCTGTGCATGAGGGGGCGGTGCCCCAACTCCCCAATCGGCCCTGCTCTGAGCCTGACCAGGGGCTGCACCTAGGGATTGGGCATGCCCTCTGCCACCCGGAGCAGGCCTAAGCCAGCAGGTCGTTATCTCCCGAGGGGTCCCAGACTGCGAGAGGGCACAGGCCGGGCTGGGGGACCTCCCCCCCCCCCGAGTGCACAAATTTTTGTGCACCGGGCCTCTAGTATATATATAAAAGCCTAAGCGACCAAACAACTGGTTGCTATGACCCGTACTGACCAGTAGCTGCCCCCTGGTGGTCAGTGTGCTCCCACAGCAGAAGTGCCGCTCAGCTGACCGATGGGTGCCAGACACAGGGCTCACAGCTGGTGAGCGCTGCTGTGGCGGTGCGAGCCTTTCCCAATGGGGACTGACTGCAGCAGGATCGGGATGAGCGGGAGCGGCAGGCAGGAGCGGCAGGTGGCATTGGACTGCCAGTTTCGGCCAGATCCCCGCAGGCCACGCCAAGGGACCTCACCAGTGCATGAATCCATGCACCAGCCTCTAGTAAGCATATAAGTTCTTTGGTTTATCTCTTCTCATCTCCGTAACCCCACAGGGAGGTATGTCAGTTTGTTCCATGCCTCCATGCTTTGGGTCTTACTTTGTTGTCGATTCATTCTGTTCATTAGATTCTACAAATAAGTGAGGTCATGTAATATTTGTCTTTCTCAGATTGGCTTATTTCAATTAACATATTTTCCAGTTCCATCCATGCTGTCCCAAAGGGTAAGAGATCCCTTGTTTTATACCTGAATAGTATTCCATAGTGTAAATGTGCCACAGCTTTTTTATCCACTCATCTACTGATGGGCACTTGGGCTGTTTCCAAATCTCAGCTACTGTTAATAACACTGTTATGAACATAGGGGTGCATACATTCTTTCTGATTGTTTTTTTTGGGCATTTCTCCAAAGGGGACATACAGATGGCCAAGAGACATATGAAAAAATGCTCAGAGTCACTAATCATCAGAGAAATGCAAATTAAAGCCACAATGAGATATCACCTCACACATGTTAGAATGGCTACCATCAAAAAATCAACAGACAACAAATGCTGGCGAGGATATGGAAAAAAGGGAACACTAGTTCACTGCTGGTGGGAATGCAGACTGGTGCAGCCACTATGGAAAACAGTATGGAGTTTCCTCAAAAAATTAAAAATGGAACTCCCATTTGACCCAGCGATCCCACTTCTGGGAATATATCCTAAAAAACCCAAAACACCAATTAGAAGGAATATAAGCTCCCTCCTTAATTCCAAATGTATAAAAACTGCATCCAGAGAACATTTCATATCTTGCTTTCCAGCAATTGTCATCAGTTTTGGCTCAAATAAATTCTTACAAAAATTCTCTACAGGTTTGGATGTTTCTTATATAAACATCAGTAATGATGGTGTACCAGGGCTCTGTCTTTAGATGTAAACACACAACAGGTCCTGTATTGCTCTCTGGCATGGCACCATCTTTACTTTTGTCAAGACTTGTCGTATTTATTTGTCCTCCACATGATTCCCTTTCTTACTTCATTTCATGCTCCCTCCAATGTCCCCTCCTTGGAGAGGCCTTCCCCATTGACCCCATTTAAGTCATCTCAATTTGTTACCCTCATCCTGTTTTGTTTGTAGAATCCTTAGGGCCATTCGAAATAGTATTTTGCATTCCTTCTCCTCAGACCTGGAACAGTACAGGGCCTGTAATCAGTGCTCCATAAGTGGTTAATGAGTGAGTGACTCCTCTGGACGCTTCGACTCGCCTGCAAGGCCCTACTACATCCACCGCTGTCCCTTCCCCTTCAGTTCCCTCCTTCCCTTCCTCCTTGCTCATGGCTCTCCAGCTAAGCGGTCTTGAACATTCCAAGCTCTTTCCCATTTCCAGGCTTTTGCCCATGCAATTTCCTCAGCCTGGAAAACTGCCTCCAGATCGCTGCAGGGCTGCCTCTCTACTTCCTTCCCAGCTCTGTCCAGTGTCACCTCTTAGATGGGTCTTTCCTGGCTTTTCTGCTAGTTCTAGATAAAGTATCCCCATTCCCACTTGCCCATCTTCTGAAATCTTTGTGCACAGAATCTGGTACAGTTACAGAAGCAGAGATGGGGTTTAGTTGATTTTTCACCCGAGTATTCTGGGAGCAAAGAGAAAAAATAACTAAAACAAGCGAAGCAGCTGGCCTTCATTTAGCACTTGATCTGTGCTGAAGTGGAGCACCCTACCTCAGAGTTAGGTTCGTTTATCATCCCTGCTTTATAGGAGAGGAACTTCAGACCTGCCAAAGGTCACATAGCTAAATAGCCAAAAGTCAACACACCGTACACTGACCACCGGAACATGCATTCTCCTTTTTTTTAAAAAAAAAAAAAGTATTTTTATTCATTTCATAGAGGAAGGGAAAGGAAGAGAGAGATAGAATCATCAATGATGAGAATCACTGATCGGCCGCCTCCTGCACGCCCCACACTGGGGACCCAGGCATGTGCCCCTGACCAGAATAGAACCTAGGACCCTTCAGTATACAAGCCGATGCTCTATGCACTGAGCCAAGCCAGCCAGGGCGGAACGTATTTATTTATTTATTTATTTATTTATTTATTTTTGGAATGTGCATTGTTAATCACCTTTCCACCCACAGTGCACTGGGGGCCTAGAGATTACAACTAATGAAAACTTTGCAAAGCAGGAAGTGTCCCTTTGGCATGTGGACTTGGGAACAAGGGGCATGGCGGACCTTCCCGCCAGATGGAAGTGTATGTACAGGGCAGGGAATGTCTCTGAGATGTGCCTCAGGAGGGTGAGGTTGTGTGTGTTTTACAGATGTTCAAATTCTATCTGTGTTCCTGGGACATGTGACTCCAGGTGACTTGCTAGAGCTGCCTGAGCCTCATTGACTGCTGTGGAGATGATGATGGTGTTTGCATCATAGCTGTGGGTGGAGTAATGAAAGTAGGAAAAACACATAGAGCACTGACATGTGCTAGGCACTGCAGTTTGCCTCGTGAACATTTTTTCTTTAATTCTCACAACCACCTAGTGAGGTGGGAACTGTTACTGTGTTGATGCAGAAATTGAGGCTCAGGAAAATATGTTAACTTCCCCCAGATTGCAGATCAGGCAAGAATCATTCCCAGTAGACTGTTCAAAATCGGAATCTAGCTCCAGGGCGGGAACGTGTAATTGCTAGAATATGGCATGTGAAGCCCCACCATGGCGCAGGTATGTGGTAAGGACCAGCGAGGCTCAACTGCTGCTGCTTTTGTCATGATTGGTGCTTTGATCATTGTCATGTCCTCCCTGTTCCTCTTCATTCTCAAAGTGCTTGCCGTCTATGCCTCTCGGGCCATTCGGCCTTGCCACTGTCTTGTGTCTTTGGTGAATGGTTCCAGCGTAGAAAGCTTTTGTCTCTAACAGTCACATTTGGTCCACAGCAGTGTCTGAGTCCTTGGGACCTGGGACAGAGTGAGGTTCCTAGGAAGTGCTCGATGATACTGGCCTTGGGGCTTGTTATGCAAAGAGCTGAGGTGTGAGTCCTGCTTGCCAATTTCAAGGAAATTACTCAGAGGACTGGCTGTGAAAGACATGAATTTATGAGGACTTAGTGCATATTGGGGGTGGCCTGTCGGTGAAGTCTCCGCCACACACACAGGCTTTGGTAGTACAGGGTTACCTAGAGTCAGAAAATAGAGTCACAAATTGTGCATGCAGGGTGGACAGGTTCGTGTGCAAGCTGTGATGAAAACACCAGCTGTTTACAATCCAGGCTCACATCCGGCACAGGTTCTTTTTGGCCATTCCGTGACCGAGGAGCTGCCAGGCTTCCAGGGTCCCATAGTACACTTACAGATGGTCTTCATTGTATTCCCACAGGGTGGAGGGGGAGCTGGAGCTTGGGAAGGGGCTCATGTGCTCACATACCACTCAGGGCTCTATGGTCCTTTACAAACGACTGGGCATGAGGCTCTAATCTTATCTGACTGGCCCTGGGCCAACGAAGCTACCTCTGTTTGACTTTTCAGACATCAGTTACCTTCAAGGATGTGGCAGTGACCTTTACCCAGGACAAGTGGGAGCAGCTGGACCTTGCCCAGCGGACCCTATACAGGGAAGTGATGCTGGAAATCTGTAGGCTCCTGGTCTCTCTGGGTAAGGCCTCACTGCTCCTTTCTGTGGGGACCTACAGCCTCCTTCATCCCACCTTGTGTTCAGATTTCCACAAGACTCCCTCTCTCCCGCCCACAGCCCCAGTGTGTGTTGGTTTCATGTTCTCCTGTCTGTCTCCCTGTATCTTCTACAGGAAATTTTGGGCAAGAAATGTAGTTCTCTTCCGAATAGCTCAGACACCAAAGGAGAAGGATTTGTAGGAGGAAACATGGGTTTCTTTAACATCCAAGAGCAAGATGTGCAGTCCGGCATCATGAGAGTTAAAGCCAGAAAGTGGAAGGAATCTGATTAGGCCTTGCCCCGGGGACTTCTGTTCCTCACGTCTGTTTGTGGGTCTCAGCAGATTGGCTTCTTCTGCCACGGGGAGTTGGTGGCTAGAAATGGCCACTCCTGTCCTTGCTCTAAGAAGCCCCCAATTCCTTGTCTCTGCTTCTCTCTGTATATACTTTTTTTCGTTCTCTCTCTTCCTTTCCACTGGGCTGTCTCTGCACAGATGTCCCGAGCCCACACTTCCTTTACCTCTCAACCTGGACTTCAGCACAGGCTGGCTTAGACGGTCCCTTCTCCAGGTTCCCATGAGATGGAAGCTGAGTAGCCAAGCTTGATTGGTTCACAGCCCAGTCAGCAGGACCCATGAGTAATAGGATGTTGTTCAGAAATGAGTGAACCAGACAGCACACCCGGAGGTGTGAGTCCTACTGGTTATTGTTCTAAACAACAATTCATTTTAAAGGCTTCTTTGGCCCTGACCAGTTGCTCAGTAGTTAGAGCATCAGCCCTCAGACTGAAGGGTCTCGGGTTCGATTTCCGGTCAAGGGCACGTACCTCGGTTGCAGACTCAATCCCTGGCCTACATCAGGGCATGTTCGGGAGACAACCAATCCATGTGTCACTCTCACATCGATGTTTTTCTCTCTCCCCCCACTTCCTCCCTCCCTTCCAATCTCTCAAAAAATCAAAAGAAAAATATCCTCGGGTGAGAATTTAAAAAAAAATGCTTAAAAGGCTTCTTTGACCCCTGATGCCTACCTGTTTATCCCTTGTGTCCTGAAGTCTGGGCCATGATCCTCTCTTGGCATGGGAGATAATTTTAGGGGGTACAAACACAACAAATGGCATTGGTGAGCAATCGGAGAATGCCATTCCCTTTTTTTTCTTTCCTGCTTGCTGATGGTTTTAGGGCAGGGTGGGGAACCTTTTTTTTGCCAGGGGCCATTTTTATGATATTTATAACATCATTCAAGGGCCATACACAATTATCAACTTAAAAATTAGCCTACTCTAGGGGGTGAGAGTGGCCAGGGAGTAGTCGGTGGGAGAAAAAGGAGACATATATAATACTTTAAACAATAAAAAAATACATATATTTTTTTAACTAGCCTGCTATATTTGGTCAAACATTTAATTAACTCACCCCTAATGCCTTAGAAGGGCCAGACCAAATGATTTTGCGGGCCTTATATGGGCCAGATGTTCCCCACCCCTGGTTAAGGGAGAAAGTATTTTTTGCTGAGTCTTTTTTTGTTTGTTTTCTATTTTAGAGAGAGAGGAACAGAGAGAGAGAGAGACATCAGTTTCATTCATTGGTTGATTCTTGTATGTGCCCTGACCAGGGAGCGAACCCACAACCTTGGAGTAGGGGGACAATGCTCTAACCACCTGAGCTACCCGGCCAAGGCCGAGCTGAGTCTTTCTAAATGCCCCTTGACTATTGGTAATTTCCCTCTTCAACAGAGGAGACAGCCTCAGACTCACAGCCCTGAGCAGGCCCTAACTGGTTTGGCTCAGTGGATGGAGTGTTGGCCTGCGGACTGAAGGGTCCCAGGTTCGATTCTGGTCAAGGGCACATGCCATCGCCAGTGGGGGGTGTGCAGGAGGCAGCCAATCAATGATTCTCTCTCATCATTGATGTTTCTATCTCTCCCTCACCCTTCCTCACTTAATCAATAAAATATTTTTTTAAATAGCACTATTTTGATTTTCTTATAGTAACTTTCCATTTGTGGTGAATGAAACTAGTTTTTCAATTTCTCAAATTGACACAGGATTCCCTTTTTAAAGGCAGGTATTAAGATAAAATTAAAGTGGGCCAGTGTAAAGAAGAGCAGTCAGTAGCAGTGGTCATGCTGTTCTTTGAGCACTGGTGCAGGTGGGTCCTGTGACTACATCGGAACAATTTTGGGGATTCTCCAGGATGGAGTCAAGGGAGACGGATCGGCATAGACAGCCAGCACCACCTTATTCGGTGTTTAGGACCCAATGACGGTATTCTTGGCGTTGGTTCCCGGTTGCAGATCAACTTGGACAAGAGCAGCCTCACTCCAAGGTCTTCTCTATCCTGAAGTCCCAGACAGCACTGAGGCATTGCTTTTTGTCTTTGCTAAAATGTGTGTATCTTACTTCTTTCTCCACAAACAGGATACCCAGTCCCCAAATCAGAGCTTGTCCACCTATCGGAGCACAGGCAGGAGCTATGGATTGTGAAGAGAGGCCTCTCCCAAAGTGCCTGTGCAGGTGGGTGGCCGAGATGTAGGCAGTGGGTGTTGTGGCGGCCTAACTGTTGCCTCTGGAGCTCCGTGGGAAGCTCCTTGTTGCGGCCTCCTTGGGTGCCTGGGTGTCTTGGTGTCCTTCTGTCCTCCCTCCTCAACACATTCTGTACTGCCGCCAGATGAAGAACCTCTTCTGTCAGGTCAGAGTGAGGCTCTGGCTCCAATTGCTTGGCCTCATTTAGCTACGTTAGGCTCAGTTAATGCTCACTGCATAACAGATAACCTCCAAACTGTCAGTGGCTCAACACATGAAAAATACTTTTCTCAGTCATAACAGGGTCCATGTGGTCAGCCTGGGAGTTCATTCACACAGTTGTTCAGAGACCATGTGCCCGAACATGTGCCCTTTGTCATCCATATGTGGCTTCATGGTTACCCTGGCATCATTCTGCTGCAAAGGGCACACGAGAGGAAGGTAGAGTCCAGCTGCACACACGCATCACTTCACCTCGCATTCTGTTTGAGGACTCAGCGGTTCGCCCTCCCTCGGGATGTAGCAGGGAGGTAGGATTCGGCTGTGTGCCCCAGGAGAAGGCACATGGGTTTGGTTTACTCTGCCTACTCTTGAAAAAAGTAGAAATAGCCCTAACCGGTTTGGCTCAGTGGATAGAGCGTCGGCCTGCAGACTGAAAGGTACCAGGTTCGATTCCGGCCAAGGGCATGTACCTTGTTGCAGGAACATCCCCAGTACGGGGTGTGCAGGAGGCAGCTGATGTTTCTCACTCATCAATGATTCTAACTCTCTATCCCTCTCTCTTCCTCTCTGTAAAAAATCAATAAAATATATTTTTTAAAAAGTAGAAATAATTTCAAACTCATTGGGCTGTTTGAAGGTATAATCGTGAATGCATGAAAACGCTTAGCACCATGCCTAAGCTGTAGTTAGGAGCTCAAAAAAAGTCAGCTGTTAGGATCTTTCGTGTGATGATATCAATCACAAAGCGTAACATCTCACATGTCATTCTGGACTCAGAAGAAAAAGAGCCTACCTTACTATATCTGCCTGTAATCTGTTCCCACCCTTCTGCATCCATTCTTCCATCCTCCTGTTTGTCAGGCAGAAGCCATCCCTGGCTCCATTGGCTTCCTGCCCCTCTTTTACTGTAAAACCTCAAGGTGACATTTGAATCTGTCTGTCCTACATCTCGGCTGCTGAAGGCAGTTGGAGTCAGCGAATGTGTTGATTGGCACCAATGCAGAGCCATGGTCTCGCCCCTCTCCTGCTCAGCCTGCCAGTGAGTGTCTCTCACCAGCCTCCTCAGCCCAGCTGAGTCCCTTATTTTTCAATTATATTCCACATGTTCCATCAGATTCTTCATGCCTAGAAGGAAATCACGATCTTGCCCACTCCTCCATCCTCTACTTGCACTGATGGCCCTGTCACTCAGACAGTCGAGAAGGGGGAAACAACCTTGGCCGAACCCATAGCACTCTGCCTCCGTCCATCCAGCATCCAGCCATCCTCATCTTGCTATTTTGTTTTTCACATCAAGTGAATCCACTACCTCCATGAGCTCCACCACTAACATCCTAGGCTAAGCCCTCATCACCTACTGCCAGTGTGATGCCAGCACACTGCTAACTGGTCGGCCCACACCTGCTCTTGGTTTCTGATCAGCTGTCTCCTATACCAGCTCTCCCACCCACTCACCCACTGATCCAAACTGACCACTCCCTGAGCCACTGATGTCTCAGCATACAACCCACTTCATGTCCTGCTCTTGCTCCTCCACTGACAGATCCATCTGTCTGTCTCATACCTGTAGCTCCCATTCTCTACGGAAGAGATCTTGCCCCCTGCCGTGCCCACTTTCTGTGCCAGAGACTAACTCACATCTCCTGCCTTCCCTGGGACCTTACTTCACTTATTTTCTGTTTCTTTCTTTTTTCTTTTTCTTTTTTTTCAGTGAGGATGCGGGAGGGAGAGAGAGAAACATCAATGAGAGAGAATCATTGATCAGCTGCCTCCTTCATGCTCCACACTGGGGATCGTGCCTGCAACCCAGGATATGCCCAGACCAGGACTCGAACCCTGACCTCCTGATTCATAAGTTGATGCTCAACCATTGAGCCACACTGGCCAGGCTCTTTTCTATTTTTATCTACCTCTATTCAACAAAAACCCATGCTCAGGGTGCTTGCTTGGGGAAAATAAAACACACAAAACAGTCCTGGCTCCATGGCAGTTTCTAAATGTTGACTAATACATTTGTACAACCAAACTCTTGGAGGAGTTGTCTTATTCTTGGAAAAGTTGCCTACACTTGACTTCCTTAGCCCCACTCCTCTTATTTCTTCTAGTTTTTTACCTGCATCCAGCAATACGCACATATCTTAGAGCTCACTGGTGGATTTTTACATAGATACGAGCCCGAACAGCCCCCACCCAGGGCAGACACGCACAGTGCTTCCAGCCAGTCAGGAGGCTCTGCTGCTCCGTCCTGGAAAGGTCACTTATCTAGATTGTCACCATAGGTTCATCGTGACTGCTCTAGAATTATTGGAAATGGACCCCGACTATATATTCTAGTATGTCTGTGAGATTCATTCTTGTGGTTGCATATAGTTGAACTCTGTTCTTAATAACCTCGTTCTTTGACATGATTCATTCTAGCCTTCCTTCTTTGCTTATTTGCAACTTCTTTCTGTGACCATAAAAACCTGGCTTCCATTATCTACCATTTATTAACTTATTTTTTCAATTCCATTATACATGTGAAGTAGTCTCCCTGGGAAACAGATTACCAACTAGAGTATAATATTTACATACATATTTTGGATCCGTGATTGGGAATTCACGTTTGCAGAGATGATTTCACTTATATGTGCATTTTCCACTGTGTGGGTGGTGGGTACCCCTAAACCTCCCCATCCCCATGTTCAAGGGTAAACTGTAGTTATTTTTGTCTTTAGCCTTACAGTGTACTGTCAAAACACCATTTTCCAAAAGTACTTAGGTCAGCTTGGTTTTCCTCCACCTCCTTCACTGAGGTAGGGCCATACATACCGTTATAATTCACTCAAGTTCATTTGTCACAGTCTGCATTCCATTCTGGAATCCCCTGACATCCCGGGTGGTGGTGTTGTTGTTAATTTGAACACATTAATATTCACTCACTGTGATGTACAGTTCTTTGGGTTTTGAAAAATGCATAGAGGCATGTACTGTCCAGCCCAGTAAAATACAATATAGTTTCGTTATATACAAATGACCCTTGGCATCTCCTATATAGTCAACCACTCTCCCCTTCCCCATTCACTGGCATATAATCTGTGTTGTCTCCATAGTTCTCCTCTTTCCAAATGTTATGTGAATGGAATCTGTAACACTTTTGAATCTGGCTTTTTCACGTGCAAAATGCATTTATTTATTTATTTGGGGGGGGGAGATTTTTTATTTTTTTTATTATTGTCTAAAGTTTTACATATGTCTCCCTTTTCCCAAATTGACCCCCCACCCCCCCACTCCCCAGCCATTCCCACCTAATGGACACAGACACAGGCAGTGGGGCTTGCAAAATGCATTTAATATTCATCCACATCATTGAGTGAATCCACAGTTCATTCTTTTTTGTTTCCAAATAGTATCACAGTATATGGGTATGTACCAGTTTGTTTATCCATTCACCGTCCTGTCTGCTGTAATAATTCACATACAAGTTTTTGTGTAAACATAAGGTTTCAGTTCATTTAGGTATTGGATTGCTTGAACTTTTTAGGAACTTGACAAATTGCCTTCCAAAATGGCTATAGCATTTGGCATTCCCACCAGTAATGAGTGAGAATTCCTCATTCCATATCTTTACCAGCATTTGATATTGCCAGGATTTTTGGTTTGTGTGTGTGTGTGTGTGTGTGTGTGTGTGTGTGTGTGTTTAATGTTAGAGGTAACTCGTGGTTCTAATTTTTTTCTCTAATGACAAGTGATTGACAATGACATATGCTCACTTTTTATCCATATATTTTCTTTTGTGAATTTTTGTATATTTTCTTTTGTGAATTATCTGTTCAGATCTTCTGCTCATTTTGTAGTTGTTATTATTTTCTTATATTTGAGCTCTAAGTATTCTCTATTCTAGATATGAGTTCTTTATTGTGATTTGCAAATATTTTATTTCAATCTGTGGCTTGTATTTTCATTCATTTATTTATTTTTAAATATATTTTTTATTGATTTCTGAGAGGATGGGAGAGGGAGAGAGAGATAGAAACATCCATGATGAGAGAGAATCTTCAATCGGCTACCTCCTGCCCGCCCTCTATTGGGGATCCGCAACCTGGGCATATGCCCTTGACCAGAATCAAACCTGGGACCCTTCAGTCCACAGGCTGACGCACTATCCACTGAGCAAAATTAGCCAGGGATGTATTTTCATTCTTTTAACAATAGAGCAAACATTTTTAATTTTGGTAAAGCTCAATTTACTACTAAAGCTGAATTTTTCCTTTCAACAATTGTGCTTTTCTTTTCATATCAAAATATTTATTGCCAAACACTGGTCTCACAGATTTTCTCCTTTGTGTTTCTTTAAAAATTTTATGTTTTTATATTTAAGTCTATGATCCATTTTGTGTTATTTTTTCTATAAGATGTGAGGTGTGTGTCAAGGTATGTTTCTTACCCCGTGTAAACACCCAGAGCCATTTGTTGAAAAGACTATCTCCCTATTGAACTGACTATGCATCTTTCAAAAAGGAGTTTACTATGTTTGAGAGTAATATTTCTAGGCTCTTTGTTCTGTTTCACTGATCTATGTGTGTGTTTACTTTTGCCAACACCACAGTTTTGATTACTATAACTTCATAGTTGGTTTTAAATTGGGTAAGGTGTATTCTCTGACTTTGTTCTTTTTCTGAATTATTTTGTCAATGCAATAGCCTTTGCCTTTTCACATACATTTTATATATCTTCAAAAGGAACTTGATGGAATTTTTATTGGGATTGTGTTTAATCTAAAGAATTAGGGAGAGTTGATACCTTTTTTAAAATATATATTTTTTTCTTTGTTCTGTAATCCCAGTAAGATTCTAAAATATATATATATTTATTGATATCAGAGAAGAAGGGAGAAGTAGAAAGATATAGAAACATCAATAATGAGAGAGAATCATTGATTGGCCACCTCCTGTACGCTCCATACTGGGGATTGAGCCCACCACCTGGGCATGTGCCCTGATCAGGAATCAAACTATGACTTCCTGGTTCATAGGTCGACACTCAACAACTGAGCATGTACTGCATACTCCAACCCATGACCATAGAATATCTTTCCATTTATTTAGATACCCGTGACCTGTCGCGGGAAATCGTGCGAGACCCGGGATCACTCCACCCCCACTCCCCGCGCCATGGGACTGCCCTGAGTCCTGGAGTCCTGCCCCACGTGGCCAGCGCACCACGGGACGGCCCCAAGTCCTGGAGTGCCGCCCCAATGCCCCGCCTCTGGGCCGCGTGCAGCAGCTGCCAGACCCAGCCCCCGTGGCACGCACGCAGGGCTGCGGAAACCCTGGCAGAAGCTGCACAAAGCGGCCACCGGAAGCCCCGCGTCCCCACAGGGCCACAGGGACCCCGGCAGAAGCTGCATGGAGCAGCCGCTGACCCCGCCCCTGCTGCCCCGCCTCCACTGTGCACATCGCCATTTTGTGATGGCATGAGGGTCAATCTGCATATTACCTCTTTATTATATGGGATGCTCTGATTTTTTTCACCAACATTTTGTGGTTTTCAGCATATAAACTCTGCACATATGATTACATTTATACTTAGTCTTTTTTAAAATCATGAATGGATGTTGAGTTTTACTTACTGATTTTTCTGTCTGCTGATGTGATCATATAGTTTTCCTTTTTAGTCTTTTTTTTTTTTTAAGAATCCAGAACCCAGAGTTTTTTGTTTGTTTTTTTCAGAGAAAAGGGAGAGAGAGGAAGTGAAAAAGAGGAGAGAGAAACATCTATCAGTTGCTTCCCACACACTCCCAACCCAGGATCAAACCCCCCAACCCGAGTTTGTACCCTGACCAGGAATCAAACAGCTACCTTCTGGTGTTCGTCTGGATGCTTAAACCAACTGACCCACACCAGCCAGGGCCCTAAGTCTTTTAATAGGGTCAGTTACAAGGATTTATTTTTAAATGGTGAACCAGCCTTTTATTCCTGCATGGACTTTCCGTTCTTTTTTACATTTGGGATTCAGTTTGTTAATATATCATTCTGTATTTTTGTGTCTATGATCTTGAGAGATGTTAGTTTATAGTTTTAATAATATCTGGTTTTGGTTTTAGTATTAAGGTAATGATGACCTCATAAAATGAGATGGGGAGTATTTCATCCTCTTGTTTTCTGGAAGAGCTTATATAGAATTGGTATTAGATATTTGTTATTATTTCTTCCTTAAATATTTTGTAGAATTTAGCAGTAAATCATCTGGCCCTATAATTGTGTCCCTTTACTCTTCCACATTAGATCTAGAATTATCTTTTTGAGTTCTCTGAAAAAGGCTGTTGTGAATTTATCTAGGGTTTATTGAATTAATAGATTCATTGAGGAAGAATGAACACTTATATTTTTAACATTTCCATTCTCATAATGCCTCTAATTAAGTGTTTAAAATTTTCACTATCCAGATTATGTCTTTTTTTTTAATCTTTATTTTTGAAAGTATTACATATGTCCCCCATTCTCCCCCATTGACCTCTTCTAGCTGTTTTGTGTCTTTTAACTTGCCTGTTTCTCTGGCACAGCTGACCCCACCTGCCCCTTAGACTGTGCTCACTTCTGCCTTGTAAACCTTGTCAGGGGATAGCAGTGACTGTGCTCACTGCACCCAAGTCAGAGTCCTGGGCATCTGCCTGCCCTCTGCCTCTGTCTGTCTCTAGTTCCATACCACCAACAGCCTCTCATGTGCTGAGCTTCCCTAGCCATCCATGTCTCACTCAGAACGGACTTTGTACATTCTGTCTCCTTCACAGCACCCCTTCCACTTCCTCTGTCAGGTGGTTTCTGCCTCTCTATTAGGAAACAGCTGGCACACCTCCTGGGAAACCCCTTGTGATCTCTTTCCCTCTCCCACCTGGAAGGGAATTGGTGCCTCTGCTTGTGCTGTCCTAGCACCACGATGAGACGCTCCCTCTCAGAGCCAACCTACTGTATGTGATGTCATCCTCATACTGTCCACGCTCCTTGACTCTGGAATGTAAGGAGGGTTCCCCAACAGATCCTCTGTTCTGTGCCCAAGCACCCCCTCTTGAGTTTCCCTTTTTTAAATGTCAAGAGCTCAAGCAACAGAAAAGAACAAATTGTAAACCTGGGGTTCAAAGATGTGAAAACGTAACAGGCACAGAGACATTGTTTTCATCATTTTCTCTCTAATAAAAGTAGTAATTTGTTTCTTTATGTTGGCATCACTACTAAGTCATTCTTGTGTTGTTATTTCTTTTCAGGAGCCAGAGGAAATCAGAGCTACCACTTCTCAGCGGCTCCTGTCCGAGGCGTCCTCACTTCGGGGATGGGTGGGGCAGGGAGCTTCAGGGACTCCAGGGCTGGAAAAACCAAAACTCAGGAAGGGCTGTCGGAAATGCAGGAAGTCTTAAGGCCAGTGACAGACCCCCACAAGGAGATGAACCCTAAATGCAATGATTTGGGGTCAGATAATAGTCTACGCTCAAGGGTTTTACAGGAGCGAGTCTCTCTAGTAGGTGTTCTCCATAACAGTGATACACACAGACTAAAAGACCCCAGGAATCAAGCTGGGAAGAACCATTATGAATATAGTGAATGCAGGAACACCAAGAATTGGGATCTTGCACATGACTATGTTCATCCGAAAGCAAAGCCCTATGAGTGCACACAGTGTAGGAAAACCTTCAGCTGTACATCAGACCTCATGCAGCACCAACAGATTCACACTGGAGAACAGCCTTTTGAGTGCAGAGTGTGGGAAAACCTTTCGCCACAGTTCTGCTCTCAGGCAACACATGAAGAATCACACTAAAGAGAAGCCCTATGAGTGCAATAAATGTGGAAAGGCCATGCATCAGTCTAATTTAATTAAGCATCAGAAAACTCACACTGGAGAAAAACCCTTTGTATGCAAAGACTGTGGGAAAGCATTTTGCTACAAGTTTAATTTGGGTCAACATATGCAGATCCACACGGGAGTGAAGCCCTATGAGTGCAGTGAGTGTGGGAAAGCTTTTCGTCGCAAGTCACACCTCACTGAGCACCAGCGGATTCACACAGGAGAGAAGCCCTATGAATGCACTAAATGTGGAAAATCTTTCTCCTTCCACTCTGGTTTTGTCCAGCATGGTTGGATCCATACTGGCGAGAAACCTTTTAAGTGCAAAGAATGTGGGAAAACCTTTTGCTCCCAGTATAATTTGCGTCAACACATGAAAGTTCACATTGGAGGGAAGCCCCATGAATGCAATAAATGTTGAAAGGCCTTCGACCAAACTCATCTTGTATTCATATGACTCACACTGGATAAAAAACCCTTTAAATGCAAAGTCTATGGGAAAGACTTGCTACTACTATAATTTCAGTCAACACATGAAGATTCACTGGAGAGCATCAAGTGTAGGAAAGCTTTTATTCTCAAGTCATACCACACAACACACCAACAGATTCACATGCGATGAGCCAGTAAGTGTAGACTGGCTTTCACTTAGTGCTCGTCTTTATCCAGCATAATAGGGCTGTCACTGTAAGGAACAGTATCTTTTACTACATGAAAAAAACAACGCCTTTCCTGCCTGGCTGGTGTGACTCAGTGAACCAGGTCACAGTTTGATTCCTGGTCAGGGCACATGCCCAGGTTGCAGGCTCAGTCCCCAAAAGGGGGTGTGCTGGAGGCAGCTGATCATTGATTCTCATCACTAATGTTTCTAATTCTCCCTCTCCCTTCCTCTCTGAAAGCAATAAAAAAACACAAAAACAAAAATTTTTTTAAAAAACCTTTCCCTTGCTCTCCTGTTCCCTTTTTTAAATCCTCTCATTCATCTTGCACCTCCACAGCCTGTTTTCTCCAAGGCCGCTGGCTTCTGACAGGGCTATGAGGTACTTTCCGCTTAGTGTAAAGCTCTGGAGCCATAACTCAGTGTGAATCCCAACCCTGTAGGCTGGGAGCTGTATTGCCCTGTGCAAGTTACGAAATCTGCCTCTACTTTAGTTTCCACATTGGTAAAATGGGTAATTTAGTGCTTACTTCACAGGGCTGTTATGAGAGTAAATGGTGTGGGGACCCTACCCAGAGTACGCCGGATGTTAAAGGCCTATTTGCCATACGTGCAAAGGCAATGACAGCAGTTTTACTGTATGCACTGTGCAGTGTACCTATGTATCATGTGACACTGATGTCACTATTTTAGCAAGAAACCTCTTTTGTCTGAGTTAGTATAAAATGTGCTCCTGAACAGCAGGTGGCTGGCTGCTTTGCAATAAAGCATGTCCCACCTACCTGTGGCTGCTCTCATCTCCCAGTTCCCAGCTTCCAAGGAGGTCCCATCCCTAGCAGAGGGGCTCGGACCCAAGAAATGGCTTCATGTATGACATAAATGAGAACAGAACCTGTTTCTCCCTGAGTAGGTGTAGGTTGACAGTTGTGATCCCTGCTGATGTGGCTACTTATTATTGGTATTGTTACCACTGTCATGCCTGGATTCAAGACCTTTAGGAACAATTTTTGAAGCTTTGTGATTAAACAGCACAGATACCAGAGACAATCAAACCTGAATTCCCAAATTAGATCAGGTGATACCATTTTTGTCCATTTAAGCAATTAGGATATTTCTTTGATCTTCTTTGTTTTCATCTACAAATGATGCCTTCCAGGGAATCTGCATTTGGATGCCAGGAGGAACACATCGAATGAATCATTTTCTTCCATTTAACTTAGGACATAAAAAGACTAAGCTAGACAGCCCTAGTTGGTTTGGCTCAGTGGTTAGAATGTCAGCCTCTGGACTGAAGGGTCTCAGGTTCAATTCTGGTCAAGGGCATATGCTTGGGTTGCAGGCTCAATCCCCAGTAGGGGGTGTGCAGGAGGCAGCTGATCAATGATTCTCATTATTGATATTTCTCTCCCTCTGAAATCAATAAAAATATATTTTAAAAAAGACTAAGACGTACATGCGACATCAGCAAGACAATGGAATAGAAGATTCTAGTCTTCATTCTCACAGAAACTTCAATTTGACAGTGATCCACCCACACAAAATGCCTTCTCCAAAGCTCTGATATCCAGGTGAAAGATTCCATTACTCGGGTGGAGCATAGAAATGAGAAAAGATGATTGGAGGAGGGTAGGGTCAACAGTTTCAGTTTACCTGCATCGCCTCTACCTCAAACCTATTTGATAAGCACTGAGAGAAATCTCCATTCAAGCTCTGTCATGGGGAAGAGTGAAATGAGTGTTTGAATAAAAGCCAGAGTCAGAGAGATGCGTCTGTAGCTGTTGACAACATTTTTGTCCTTCCAGGCTAGTCAAGTCTGGGATTACATTTGTTATTTAACTTCATCCTCATACACAATGCCCATTTATGGATGAGGGAATAGCCTGAGAAAGACAAAACAACTTGTCCGAGGTCCTAGAGCTTGTCAGCGACAGGGCCTAAGCTCATCCTGGTTCTACCTGACTCCAGTCTGCATGCTTTCAC